ATGCTGATTTCGACCTTCTAAAAAACCCCAGGAATCACTCCAGAGCAAAACCGATTATATATTTGGAAAGGGCAACAAATGCGCTTCAGAATATAAAACTTGCAAAAAATCTAATAGCAAATAACATCGCGGCGAGCATTTGAAAATTGGGCCTCAAAAACCGCAAGAACTTTCTTTACGACCTAATAGAAGAGGAATCAGATTTTACAGTGTTCAGACTTTCAGATCTTTTATGGCTTTTTGCTCTTGATCATATATCGGTCCTACTTCTCCTATTTTTCTAGTCCTGGTCTTATTTTTCACGGCACCAAATCATCATTTCAGATTTTCAGGTACCAATGAAGCTATTTCTGGCTCCAAATCTCCCGAATACTCAAAGGGACCAACTGGAAAAAGGCAGCTCGTTCACACCTGGGCAACATCCTACCCAAGAGGACGTCAGCCTTCTTCTTTTCCTCCTGCAGTTGCTTTGTTCGTTCTTCGACATCCAACTCTAATGTCGTGGTGTAGTCTTCCAACATGTTGAACATATGGTCCATTAGATTGGTGTTCTTGTTCGGCATCATCGTCTTCAAACAAGTCTCATTTCTCACGTCCTTTTCACAAAAATGCCTTATGCTAACTCCTGTGACTAGAGCAATTGTGTTACCTTCAACATATTGCACAGAGTTTCACTGCTAGGGCGGTCCGCCGGTCTTTCGTTCCAGCAGTCGTGTATGAGGTGGATCTGAAAAATATGTCTTGACACCAAACCTAGTTCACCTTTCCTCGATCGTTGCGATGTTAGCGTTCAATATCTCTCAAGCTTCACAATTAGACTCCAAAAGATATTCTTCCGATACCTCATTATTGCCTGGTCCAATCGAGTTGGAAAGTTATTAGGCTTTTGTAAATCGTACGAGCCATACTTGGAACTCAGTGCGTATGCTTGAGGGCAACAGTGAGGTCTCCTAGTCGTTTTTTGTTTCAGAATGCACTCGACAGGAATAGTAGTGGCTCGCTTTTCAGGAACTGCAGCTTTATTCCTGATTTGCAGCAATTAACTGGTCACACCTTGGAAAGGACCAAGTCACCATTGCTCGTTGTACAAATTAGGTGTTCAGAGAGAAATGGTGTTACGCTTTGAGTCTTTGCTGCTTTCTCATAGCAGGCTGGTGGACCACATAAGCAATACGTGTTGTTTCGTGCGATGAAATTCATGTTGTTTACCTATACGAAAGGAGGTTGATGAGTTCTGCAGTTCTGTGATCAATACAGTCTCTCACCAGAAATTTCCATCCTAGTCGCGGGACTGTGGCTGCTTTCATAGTCCGCCGGCGTGCCAGCCGAGGTAGTGCTAGGGGGGAGGAGGGAAGCAGGCGGTCGGTCGACGCGGTCGCGGCCAGTTAGTATTTGGTACACCTCTATAGGTACTGAGCAGTCCCAGCACTGTTACTTAAAAGATAAAATAATTGTTCATTCATCGTCTCTAGATTAGAGATTCATACCTGAGATGATTGATCTTAAGCTAAAAAAAGAAAAAATATTCACCACCGCCACATTGATTTCGCCGTCAACGTTGAGATCTGGTCGAGGTGGTGCGGGTCCTCCCTTTTTCAACATATAAAGCAGTTCTAAAATAGTAGGATACGTGTTGGGAAAAATACTTGGAATTTGATTGCCTGACCATCCTTTCGTTCTTTCCGTTCATTCAAGTTCCATGCAGATTTCCGCGTTACGACCTCAGAGGCTACAATAGCAAAAGAATATATGTCGCCCTCTTTGGACTTTTTGGCCGACGTCTCGGGTGATCGCAGATGTTCAGGAGCTAGCCATAATAAACCTTAATAACGTATTTATTGACTTATTATGGAGCAGCTAAACGTAGTCCATGAAGTTGGTGTCATCCTCTGAGGAAAAAAACATCGAATGAAACAAGTCTAGCTGAGCCTGATGGTCGAAGCTTTAAAGAGATTCCGGTTGCCCGGCTTGAGTTGGGAAAAAATGTCAGTGTTGACTAGAACTTTCTCATAGTGCTAGATGGGAATAAGTCTAGGAAGGATAGTTGCAGTTCACAGCTCATTTACTGTCGCCATTTGATGGTTAGGAGGAACAGCAGATAACTTTTGTTTTTTAGGCATCAGTAGAATCTTGAATTAAATTTTCGGGTATAATGGGTGCACACAATGTCGAATACCGCCTATCAAGATCGTTTCGGATGGGTAAGAGTTACTAAGAGTTAGTTAGTTAGTACAAGAGGCAAGGGATATCAGAGCCTTAGCCAGAAACCAAGAGTGACCTTGACTTCTAAATGCCGTACTTATATCAGAATTTTCAACCTTAGCTTTTTTTTTCTCGTTTTTATGATTATTTGAGTCACTTGAATTTTTTCACTCTACCGTGTTCTCTCAGACGCTCTCACTACCGTGCACTTTACCCATATATAACATCTTTCACACTCAAGTACAAGCATGGGTAGAGTATAAGAAATTGGACCTTCTTTAATGTGGAAAACATGTGTAACTTGAAACGTTTTATAGTATTTGTACGGGTCTGTGGTAGCCTCAGAAACGTCGAAGAAGTGTAAACTAAATTTTTAAGCTGTAAAACTTCTCGATTAGATTTCTAGTGCCTTCGCCCTTGAACCCGAAAAAGATTTTGAGGAGAGAATTTGCACGTCCGGAGCCATATGGTAGAATGGTGACTCGTAGTAAGCCCGGAATTCAAAATGATTGGTGCTCCTTACGAAGAGCGTAGCAAAGACCTATTCGAAAAAACCAGAAATCACGTTTTGAGGATGCTAATGCAAGCTCTAATAGGACTTTAACATTTTTAAAAAAACCCCAATCCAAGCCACTGCGAGCGAATTGACCAAAATTCACTACTTCCATCGTACATCAAGAGTACACAAAGCCGCCCTCTCAAAAGAGAAAAGAAGTGTAGGTACATCGAAGTAGCCGTCAATCTGTTCTCTAAAGCATCATTTCTCGAAAAGTTCCTCATCAAGGAAGCAGAACGACAGTGCTACTTGTAGTAGCACGACGAGGGGTTGGACTGTAAGGTACATGGGAAACCACGCGCCTTCCTCGACATGCTAACTGTCGAAACTGTTGATGCTCTTCAGACTATGGCGCTCATTACGGTGATGCGTGATGATTTACGTACCATAATTTTGCGCCGAATCCTTATTGGTTTCCAGAGCTGCTTCCTAAAACGGACCGTGAAAGGTGTCAGCATATACCCAGTATGTGTTTGGCTCTATTTTGCACCCGTAAAAATCTAAATGTCCTAGAAGGCTGAGAAGAAAACTTCGCAACCAGATAATAGACACATTAGCATAAATGTCCCCCGATTAATGTGCGCAAAATCAAAAAGTTACGTCTTTTCTTGAATCGATCATTCTCTCGCAAAGAATCGGTGCCGTAGTCAGATATTTTAACCTGCCAGCTGTCAGTCACCAAGCAGCAACTNAATCCTTATTGGTTTCCAGAGCTGCTTCCTAAAACGGACCGTGAAAGGTGTCAGCATATACCCAGTATGTGTTTGGCTCTATTTTGCACCCGTAAAAATCTAAATGTCCTAGAAGGCTGAGAAGAAAACTTCGGAACCAGATAATAGACACATTAGCGTAAATGTCTCCTGATTAATGTGCGCAAAATCAAAAAGTTACGTCTTTTCTTTAATCGATCATTCTCTCGCAAAGAGTCGGTGCCGTAGTCAGATATTTTAACCTGCCAGCTGTCAGTCACCAAGCAACAACTCGAAGAGAGACGTCCGTGACAACCAATGATCGAGTTTTGCAGGAAGCGAATACCCTACGACGGTAATATCTTGGCACTTAATCACGATACTTTTTTGAAGCGATTTACCTCGGCGATGTCCCTCATTATACAGAGCATGAAGAACGGGTCGAACCACAATGAGCCCTTCGAGATGAGCTCCTGAAGCAGCGACCAGATTGATTATAATTTTTAAAAACTCTCTGTGGGACAATAGCTCTACATGTTCATTCAAAGAGATGGCCTGTTCTCAAAACTTACTTGTAGAGTGCCTCTGGAACACATACGCCAAATAGCTATATATTCGGAGCCATCAATCGAAAGCCCAATAAATCGATTAACATTATCGTGATCCAATTTCCTCATCTGAATTTGCTACTACTCTCTTGCTATTTTGTTCATCGTGACGGCATGAAAAGGGAAGAAGAACACTTATGTAAGATGCGAAATTGAGCATATATTAAGAAATCTCATCCCATGCGCGCTATGCATTCTACTTTCATACAGATTTGCAACTGCGATTGTATGCACAGCGTCATGCCTCTCTGTCATAAACAAGGAAGCTATCGAACTCCCAATATTTAATCAACATTTTAGATGAAATATCAAATAATGGGTCTACAGAAGTCTCCTACTAATTACAAACCATTGGTACCTCCTTATAAACCGCCGCCTATTTCGTGTATTAATAACACGGTCTGGGCCTAGAAGTGTGGTATTCGCTTATATTCCAATTCCGGTTCACTTGCGGTCCTCAACAAGCTTCTCCGATCACATGCGAAGACAAACAAGAGGCTGATCTGCGCAACTAATGCAAGGGATTACTTATCCTCTGACAGGAATTTCGTCAAACTGCCACAACTGTTATGCTATCGTTGTTTCAATAGTGACGGACTTTTATTAGTGAGGCATTTAGATGCCCGCGTGAAATATCAGGGTTGTGCAACTGACCGAGTCAATTCTTGGGCAGCCGAAATATCTTACTTAATCTTCAACTGTACTTCGCTTCACATAATTCTAGTTTACATCTCGCACTATCGAAAAACGTTCTACCGTCTAGAGTAGAAACTAAAGGAATCTACCTGCATCTAAACTTCATCCAACTTATATAATCGGCTAAGTGTTTCTTTTAATGTGTTGAGTCGAGCGAACATTTATAACTACTGTTCCCATGCACTTCGATCATTCAAATTTATTTGGTGTACAGGAGGTAGGGTGGGAGTACATATGGTAGATGGCAGGGTTGGATTTCTCTAACAGAGGAAGTAGAGATTCACAACTTCTTTTTCCGCGCACCTAAAGCGTTCGAAATTATCAAGGGCACAGATGGCACGACTGGCAGGATGAGAACACTAATGTTAGCTGGCAGGAGTCGACTCCGCTCACACGAGGCGGGACGTACGCAAAAATTGTTAATCTTGACCTGAGGCGTTCAAATTTGGATGCAGTGCAGGCGGCAGAGAGATTAAGGAACTGATGGAAGGTAGTGGAAGGTAACTGAACTCATCCAGCCAGCGGAGCATGAAGGGGGAGGAGAGGAATTGATAAAATAACGTGCAAACACGCTGTCAAGTTGGAATAAGAGGTCATGGACCCAAGGCGAAGTGTGTCGGTATATGTATGATTTGTTGGAAATCAATAGCTAATGTTTTTTGGACCAGAGATTCGAAACTTTGAAAAGTGCAGGGGCGAATCATTCTCAACACAAGAAGGAGGAGAGCTAGGCATTAGCCAGGCAATCCTACTTGTATCAAGAAAGTTTACATCTCAACCGGCAATGTTACACCGATTTTCTTATTTAGTCGAGTGAATATTCAAAACCCCCATCTTTCAGAGTTGACCTTATTTGACGTGGGGTTGGAAGGACTGTTGCTGACGGGCGTTTATGCTTGCCGCCACTACCTGATTTCTAACTTCAGGTTTGCTGATTATTCTGTAGTATCGACTCGCAGGATGTGAGGTTGCAGACCTGTGAGAATATGGACTTGTCATCCTCTGTCAATCCAGCTGCTTGATATGCCTTTGTGAGAACAGCATCGTTTTCAAGAAAACAGATCTCGTAGTCGCCAAAATTGGATTGTGTAAGTCTTGAGTCTCCCGTCATCGTCGATGGACCCGATTGTAGTGAACGTTTGCTTTCCCGTTGAAGTTCTCGCTAGAAACCACTCAACATGAACATATATTTCCACAAAATAAAGCAAAAAATATGCAGGGATGGAGGAATTTCATGAAATGGTGGAGAAGAGCAGGGACTGCGGAAGCTTTACTGGCTCTCCAACTTGCGAAAACTGGTCTAAAAGACGTCGAATACAAATACTGAATTCCGTACCGATGTTGGCGGCTTTCTCAGCTTGAGAGAAGGAATCTGCCATAGCAATCGTTGCTGCTCTTCCTCTTCCTTACGAATTCTGGGAAAAATAGAAACGATGAATTTCATTTGCGAGTTATGCTACGGCTACTAGAGCTTATTAATGGCCCACTCAGGTAGCAACTTAGTTTATGTCTTTTCCTGGCTAGAAGATCTACTCAAGAATAACATGGATTTGAGCCCCGACCCTAGCAGCAATTCTTTCGTTCTTTCCATTCAGCAAATGCCGTTCGTAAGTTTCTGGGAGGCGAGAACACCTATTGGGTTCTACCCAGCCCAATTGAAACACAAATACCCATGTTCCTAAACCTTCCATACATAACGCCTCTCAGGACAAGGGAGCACTCCTTACTACACATTCTTTACTTCGGTAGGTTAGGGGGAGCAGCAGTAGATGGAACCTTTTACAAAGAAGTCCTCACCTTGCAGCGTAAACAATTAATACCACTGTCACAATCAGTAAAACTACTATCAGCCCTCCTCCAACTATGATATATATGCCATACTGCTCCCAGAATGGCTTAGGACAATCAGTGCCCGTGTAGCCACATTTCGGACGAACGAGTGGTCTGTAATAAACCTTCATTGAATTCCAACAGCGGTAGTGGTGAAAAATCGTACCGTTGACCACCTCGAGTTCCCCAAAGAGTTGTTGCTTCATTTGTGTAGCCTTTGATCATCACCTCAAAAAACGACAATAATTGTTTTGGTCTAGAAATACTAAATTGGGACTGCAAACGTTCTGATGAGTAACATACTGGTATACCATCGCTCATCGTGAAATTGATAGCAGTGACTTGATTAAAGTTCGCATCCAGGACATATGCCGAAAACAGTGGAACACGTGACCCATTAGCGTTGATTGTGACCAATCCAGTAAGCCCTTAAGAGATGTGAGCTTTGCAGAAGTTTTCTGATGGCGGTAGTACTAGGTTTCATTCGCTTGAAACTTGGAACTGTACCGTATGCAATTTTTTGGTTGCTATTGAGGCTGTCATGTGAATTATTCTCTTTGCATTACTTGGCAGGCTTCTCATCGGAACGGAAAACTCAGAATTCCTCCACGTCGTGTAACAGTGGGACTTACAGAAGTATGGCAAGTTTTTATAAAGTTTATAAAGTAGGCTGATCGAGAGCAGGCAGCAGGAATGTGTAGCGGACTTCTCGTGTAGCGGTACTTCTCCCCTATCTCCCAGGTCGTTCCATTTTAGCTACAGTATTCTTACACTGGGAATTCAAATCTTTCTCTTCAAAACGCGCGATCATATGTGGGTTTCCAGGGAGAAGCTCTCACATCCGTAAAATTTGGCATAATATACAGTAGCGTTTGAGAGGCACCATCAGAGAATTTCTTTCCTCCAATCTGCTTCCTATGCGCACTTTCAATTTTGATATGTTTTGCCTTTCAATAATACGAACAAATCGCACAATCTAACTCGCGATTCAAATCACATGATCTCGGACAATATTTTTTGAAAGGCTAATTTTCGTCCTTACGGTTGCATTGTTCTAGTGTAGTGGTCATTTTGCGATTTTCGAATATCTCTTTAAAACTACTGAAACACTCCAATGGTGAGCAAGTCTGAGGCTTCCCAACTATCAGGATGATTCAACGATAGCGGGCAGTTTTTCAAAGATCGCAAAATTTGTGACTTAGTCTAAAAACTTGCATAGTAGAAGAGATATTTCGCTCAGGAAATTCATGTTTTCTCCTAACACAGGAGAACAGACTGTCCTCTAGTGAAATCTGCTAAACTAGCTTTTGAGCATAGAGTTCAAGGAATCAATATTAGAAACTTGTAATTTCGTCTTCAAAAAGGCAGATGATTCTGAGGGTTGAGGCCGAAAACTTTTGAGTTACATGTGCGAACAAAAAAAGCCACTCTCCTTCCTAATTTGGTGCGACGAGTCACTTTGATATCATGTTCATTTGGAAATCATCTACGGATATTTGAGAATCAGTTGGTTCGGGGCTCTGTCGAACTCACATTGAAGTGGTCCCGGTCTTGTTTCAGAAATAATTTCGCTTCGTAAACTGGTAACCTACACACCTACGAAACTTCGTTCCATTGCTTGAGTGATGAAAGAGGCGTTAGACTGTCCTCCCATAGGATCCTTTCTCAATGAATCATTCAAAGCCAGTCCATACATATAGAAAACATCATAGAGGTGGCGTGCCCATATTGCTATCTGAAATTCTGCCCTACATCATTGAGTATTTTAGTTTTCCACTAACTAGCAGGATTTTACCATCAACAATCATAGCGACTACAGTATAACTATTTACAGAGTTCTAGTGATATGCAACAAAGTTCTTCCGAGGGCATTTCATTGGTTACCATCTGCTATAATAGGAAGATGTTATCAGACCGCAAATCGGGAATAGGCTTGATAATCAGCATTGCGCTTGTTTACTTGACACCTATCAACATTTTATTGGAATAGTACGGACTGATCAGGATCGGAAACAAAAGTATCCCTGCAGAAACGGATTACGCACAGTGGAAGGCTAGGCCAGCTCTATCTCAGTCAATTTTTGTTCAAGTTCCTTGCTACTTTTCTTTAATAAAAAAAAACAGCTACACAGAACAAACGGACCTAGTATTTCACCTATACGAGGCCTTTCTCTGAGCAAAGGGTCAAGAGCAGCAGGTTGAAAATTATTTTTCTCGATAGGCAAATGATAGACGGTCCTTTGACATTTTGTCGTGGCGTTCGGCCGTCTTCAAGGGGCACTAGCGTGGCGCGCGCACTGGTTCAATCTTTAGATACCATGTCAGGCAATGAACGGAAAGTTGCCTGGTGCTTACAAATTAGTCGTGGCCTGGGTATTGTCATCATCGCTGTCACCAACGTCAGCTGAGGTCCTTCGTTCTGGCGGTTGCATCATACCATTCCGACTACAACTGCACTTCCAGCTTGCAACACTGCTCCCCCACTAGGTCTATCTAATGTTCCACGCCCATAAAGTCATAGTCAGCTCTGCCGATGAAAGGAA